TCCCAGAATTCCCCAGCCAGCTGGGGAATTCTGGGAGTTGAAGTCCACTCATCTTAAAGTGGCCAAGTTTGGACAACTCTGCCTTAGTGGCATTCTGCACTGAGAAGGGGGGTCAGGCTAGATGACCTCCCAAACCCTCTTTCAATTTTAGGATTCTGCCCTTGCAAATCTGGATCCCAGCCACTGCAAATGCGCAACTGGCTGCCACAGCCCGCCAAAATCTGTTTGCCTCTGTGCTTGTGCAGCATAACCAAAGGGAAAAAAAGATGTCCTACAGGATGCATTTGAAGGACCAGGTTCGGAACAGATCCTCCTGGAGAAAATCTATCTACGTGGTTGCTAAGACTCGACACCAACTTGCTGGTACATAAATCATCATCGATCAAAAGATGGATGTACATCCCACTGGAAACCATGACTCCTAATCTCCAGAGAGCAGGCAGCGGCGACTTAATCCGTCTGCACTTGCTCAGAGGCACTCTTGCTTTGGGAAAATCTTTGCACTGGATTGGAACATAGAAGCAGAACTCCGCGGACACCTGGATGCCTTGAGAAAAGGCACAGCCGGTGCCACCAATGGACGCGTGGGGGACCCCATCTGCCCTCCCCCAGCCTGGAAACCATCTCTGCCTTTTCGTTCCTCAGATTTCTCATCTGCTGCACCCGTTCGTCCATCTTCCCGGGTCTGACGTCTCCCAGCCCGTTCCGTTGCGAGCGGCACCCTCCTGCCTCTCGCCTCACGCGCAGCAGCTACGGGGGTGGCTTCGACTGAGCCCAGCGCCCCTAATGGCTCCCCAGCCCCCTCCCCGTTCTTTTCAACTGCTCCGCAATGTTCTTGGCTGGCTAATGGGGCAATTTTTTTTTTTTGCATTATCCGTATTTGTCCAATTTGGCGTGCTATTCAGAGAGGCGAGGACGGCAGCTCCCGCAGATTAGCTGATGGGAGTTCTCTGGGTGGCGCGCTGTCATCCGTCTCGGGAGCAGAGCGGCTCATCTTGCTGGGAGACATTTGCACGTGGCTTCGGACCGACCGCTGAAGGCACCTGAGGTGCTTCCAGCAGGACCTCAGGTTGGACCTGGGCCATCTTTCTTGATTTTACACCCCCTCTCTCCCCCCAGCTTCTCATCCCTTCCCCCCCCAACATTCACTCATTCCTCCTCTTTCCCATCAGCCTGGCATCTTTGCAAAATTTCAGATTGAAAGAGAAAAAACGTCCAAGGTGCCTTACAAGGACACTGTGGCTTGTATGAAAGCCGAGACGTGCTCAGCCCATGCGCACGGGACAGGCTTCTCTACGCAGCCCAAAGCAGAGGCCTGGCCCATCGCAAACATTTCCCCCCCAAAGCTTTCCCAGCCACACTCCTCCATTGCCGCCTCACCCCACGCCTTGCCTTCTCTCTGCTCCTCCTCAGCAAACCTTTTGATCAAACTCAGATCTTCCATATGGCCTTTCTAATGCATTTATATCCATGCATTTCCAAGCCAAGTGGCTTTTGCAAAAATTGGTCCCTCAAGGCAGTGAGACGCTGCACACTTATGCCAGTAGATCAAAATGTTATTTTAAAGATAAGGCCGTGACTATCCCAGGAAATGTTTTCAGACTTTTTAAACATGCCTGAGCGGAGCTTTAATCACACTGTCGCAAGCGCCATCTTGACTTTTTTCACCGTACCCAGCAGACGCTCCCGCCTACATGGTATTTACTACTGATAGATCCTCTCTTTCAAGAACAGCAGCAGGGAGAGAGGCAAAAAAGTCAAGATGGCAGCTGCAACTGCACGATAAAGCCCCAACGTTGTTTATGTGCATTGCACATTGGATGTGCGTCCTCATTCATGGAACTGGTCTAGTCCCCCCCCTGCTCTTTAAAGCTCTTGACATCTCTCGTGGCAATGAGAAAGCCCAGTTTTGCTATCAGCTGAGTAAAGAACTATTTCTCCAACAGGAATAAGGTCTTGAATTTGAGAAGATGCCTCAAATTCCAGTTTGTTTTTGGACAGGGAAAAAAAAAAACACCTTCTCTCATCCATCTCCCTGACTCTGTTACAATTAATCTAAGACAACTGTTCCATTTTAAAAGTAAATTATTCAGGGAAAATCTTTTCTTTTTTCAAAATAATAATAATAGATTTTTTTTTAATCCCGCCTTTTATATACAACTCAAGCTAGCAAACATACCTAATGTAGTTTTCTCTGTGTCGGTCCTGAATTCCATGCTACTCAACTTCACTCGCTGTCCCCAATGGGTTCTAGTGCATCCTATTGATTTATTTGTTCAATCAATTTGCACCCCCCCTTCCATCTCAAGAAAAGAAAGATAGATACATACTTCCAGCATGTCCTGCCATAGTGATTTTTTATCTTACTTTGTCTTCCAGGCGACATTTCTAGAGGCATTAGAAGACTCAGGGATGACAACCGGAGTGATGAGAAATTATTGAGCGCCCTGATGCAGATGACGATCAAAATGTTTAGCGTCCTCCGCTAGTTCTCCTCCTTGCACAAAGGGAAGGACACACACCGACACAGCCCTCCCCCCAAGCAAATACTGCAGCTCTCAACTGGAGTCCCAGCAATTACGGTCACCTCCTGCTATGATGGCCCTTGTGGGATGAGAAACTGGGGATTCTGGAGGCTGTGGGGCCCTGCCCCACCTGGGGAGCCACACGGGCCTATAGAGAAAATCGCTAAAACCTGGCCATTATGTCCCAGGGGGCTCATGATGCTGAGCACCTAAGTAGCTCACTGATTGCGAGGTTGCAGGGACCGTGAGAGAGGAATGGAAGCGAGAGCAGACATAAATAGCGGCGTGCTGCTCGATATATAAGAACTGGCTTGGCCGGCTCCATCGCCGCTGCCGCGCCTCGCCACTACCTGCGGAACAGCTGATTGGCACACCAGGTATCGAGGCTCACCTCTCCTGCCAAGCGGCTCGTGAAATTCCCGAAAACATAACCATCGGCTCTCACAAGCCAGCTCCAGTACAATCAAGAGACAGGAGGGGGAATCTGTTGGGATTTCATAAACCGTGACTTAGCCCAGCTGGTGAAAAACCTGGGAAGAAGCACTTCACATCCTTCAAAGAGACTCCGCCTTAAAGAAGTCACGATCAAGGTGGGTGGGAAATTCCTCTTGCACTTTGCAAGGTTCTCTCTGTACCCCCAATTCTAGTGTTAAAGACACTTCGTTTGTCTGGGTTAATTCTGGCTTCCTTGATCTTACTGAGATGCATGGTGCTTTCCAAGATAGCTCGCCTCCTAGTGTGCTTGCCCAGATGCCAGTTTCTACTTAGTTGCAAGAGGTCCCCTTGCCAGACCTGCCCCCTCTGAACGCCAGCCTCCCACCACCGGGTCTCATACCATTGGCAGTCCCTGCCCTCAGCTGTCCCTGGCTGAGGTTGGCAGGGCAGACCTCCTTCTCTGAGCTCCCTGACATTACAGTTACATTCACACAACACACAGAAGCCCATTTAATGAACGCACCCATTTTCTTGGCTGCATTCCCTAAATCCTAAATTAATCCAGTGACCTGTGTTCATTTAAAATGTTAAGCTCCAAGAAAGCAAATCAAGGTTCACCCAAGCCGGGGTTGTGCAAATGCACAGGATGAGTCTTTCTCTGGCAAAGCACACTGTGTGAACACACAGATGGACAGTAACAGGAGAAGGCACTGCACTCACCTGTACAAGTATCCAGGAGAAGATCACAGCTACCCAGGGGTTCCCACCAGCCGATGTCTGCTTTGCTGGGCCTAAAACTTTGCCTTTATCACAAGGAAATTGGGCAGAGGGAGAGAGAAAATAAAATAATCCATTAAGACCAATGGTTCTATTACAATTCTGTTTGGTATAGATAATTGTGTGTGCAGGGGGGACCTCTTCTACAGAGACCAGAAGTTCATAGTAGAAAGTATTTAGCCTTTTTATTAAATCTATTACTTAGATTAGTTGACACTGGTGATGTTAAAAGTATGAACGTTTTAACTGCAACTGTCTCCCCAATTCGGACATTACCAGCCTCAGTCCATCTTAAAAAATACAACTGCATTCTTTAAAAAAATGAGATGTCAGGCACTCTCTTAGAACAAAATATTCCCTTCTGCAAACGAAAGGAAAAGGAGAAGAAACGCCTTTTGCAAGAACCTGATGGATTCATAATTAACCCCCGTAACTGCAAGCCACCGAGAGCCTTTATTCACCATGAATTTGTCCAGTTCCCCTTCTACAGGTGTCTGTCAGTGGCCGTCTCTGCATCTTGTGGCAGGGAATTCCACCAGCTAATTGCACGCAGGGTGAAGGCGCCCTTCCTTTTGCGCGTCTTCAATCTGCTCCCTTTTGGTTTCATGAGATGAACTGGAGTTCTAACGTAAGGAAGAAACCTTTGCCTCCTCTAATGTTCTCAGCACCACACAGAACTTTACATACTTCTATCACAACTGTATAATTTTCCTTTTGGGAGTGGGGGCCCTAAAAAGCCCAAATCCACTATGTGTTCTCAATTCCACTAAATAGTTTTTGAAATGCAGCGGCCAAACTATTGGGTACTGTACTTTAGTTCAAGGTGATCGCCTGAGAGATTTGTCTAAAGGCCTCACCATTTGGGTTGTTTCATTTTCAGTATATATTTATTTCCGCTTTCATGATTTAGCATGAAATACGGTTGCTTATGGTTACTTTAATATCTGTAAATTGCCTAGAGCCCACTAAGACTGGGGTGGTGGATAAATCACACAAACCACAAGCTACAGAAACAACCCTTTTCTAATGACCTAATAATGGGAAATTTACTTTTCTGAGGAGTCCTTGGGGCTCTCTGAGCTGGGCTGTTTGCTTGCAAACGTTTCGTTACCCGGCTAGGTAACATCTTCAGTGCTAGCGTTTGCAAGAAAACAACCCAGCTCAGAGAGCCCCAAGGACTCCTCAGTTCAACCCCGAGCTACATATATTTTCTTCTATTGGTAATTTACTTTTCTTTTTTCTTTACAGGGCCAGTGCGATCGGTGTTTTCACTGAGCTATACTTTCTTCGTTACTCACTGTCACTTCAATCCCCATCAGCACATAGGTGACATTAGACATTTTTGCCCCAATATTTTACACTTTACGCTCGCTTGCATGTTTTGCTATTTGCCATTTTAAGGCCCATTTCCCCAGACGAAAGAAAAATTTTCAGAGCTCCATAACTTCCTATTTTCCTCTCATCTGCTTCAATGCCGTTCTTCTTAGGCACCAGGCTGTGATGCGTGAAAAATGTGACTTAGAAAAAAAATCTGGTTTTCCTTTGAGAAGGCTTCTTCCTTCTCCTCTGCCAAGGTAACAAAATCCACCAAATCAACAAGGGGCTGGGATAATTGGAAAGTCTCTAATAAATATAATAGGAGAATCGCACGCGTCATTTAATCCGGCTTTTGCTTGTTGGACTGACTATAGATCATGGTTATCAGAAGATGTTCTTCATGCAACAGGATCAGATAGGAAGGGGCCTTTTCAGTACTGGCACCCCAAATGAGGACCCCCTTTCCTGTTCCACCAGCCCCAAAGTCCCAATTTTTGGGTGCCCAGTAAAGTGATTTTGATTTATCAAAGCTTTTTTGGGGGGGGGCACTGTCTGCCTTACAGTTCTGTGGCTTTATAACCCTTTGCTTTTATTGTTATAGGAAACAGAAGACCCATTGTATTTTCTTTATTACAGCGCATTTACATTCTCGTATACTTCTCCAGAATTTGTCAGGTCTGAAGGGCAGACTAGCAATAATTAAAACTGTAATTCCACCCTCTCTCCGGGCAGCAATGCAATCTGCAGACTCTTGGCTTTTTCAGCACCATCGCTGGGTATATACCGCACGCCTTCAGTGCTTTCTGGCCATTTGCTACAAAAATATATTTTCCTGGTAAGATAATATGTTCCATAAAGCAGGCAGGATGCCTAGAAAAGTCCAAAATCCTCACTAGGGCAATGTTTTATTAGGGTCAATCCACACATCACAAAATAACGAGCAAAGAATTTCTCTAACTACATCTGGTGATATTGCTACAGCTGCCGAAACAAAGTGGGGAGAGATGTGTGCGGTGCTGGGGAGAAGGTTCAAAGAGATGCACAATCTTTTTCTCTTTTTTTTGTACGGCAGTCCTACGAAGGAGGTCAGTTTCATCTAGTATTCTGCATGGTAGAAATGGTTTTCCTCTACTAATGTCCTAATTCTTCTTTTCACTCATAAAGTAAATATAAAACTTCCTTTGGGTTGATCTCGATGGCAAGTGGACACGTGGAGTTTTCATAGGGCAGAAATTGTTTGCCCTTGGCTTCTTCTGCAATGATTCTTTCCACTTCCCAGTTGCTTATAACCTTGGGTTTCCAAGTGGTCCCCCATCCAACTATTAACTAGTCTGGCCATGCTTAGCTTTCTCAAGATGAGTCTGGGTGACTCATCCCTCATCCAATCTCTGTGTTCTTCCTTCTGGGTCAGAAACCCCTTCCCACATGTCATCAATCAACTGCAGCCTGGGCCACAAGCTGTTGGTGGCAACATTTCTCACTGGGCTCATGTATGGTGGCTTGTTGTGAACATACCACAATTAGTGCATTTTGCTCACATGATTCTTACGGTTGACAACCCACAGTGCTAGGCCCGTGCAACCAACCCAGCCACTCCAAGGCTTAGCTTGCTGTTGGACATCTACATGATGTCAAGAAGCATTTCAGTCCCCCAACCAAGAAAATCTTGAAAGGAGCTTGGCAGAAGTTTGAACTAGCCCATCCTTGTGGTCCTTCTGACTCCACAACTCTTACGATGCGATGGAACCCAAACTTTCTTGAGCAAAAGAAACCTGTTTTGAGAGGCACCTTGCTAGAGCATTGCTCAGCGCATCTTACTCACCAAAGAGGTCATCTTTGGCCAAAGCATAGAGGATCCGAGAGGCCCCGATGAGGTTGCTCATGGCAGCTGAGAGAGTCGAAAAGTAGACCCCGATGATGACAAACGGGGGCCAGATGTTGATGTCCTTCAAAAAGCTATAGTCCCGTTGGAGAAGAAGCCTAGAGAAAGAAGAACCACCAGGTAGAAGAACGTTGCATGATGGAGTCACATAGACAATACATGACTATAATAATGTCCCCTAGTCTTGAAATTATTACAGTGGTATGTATCTTTGATAGATAATTCCCTAGGTTTCCAAACATCAGGGGCATCAGTTGAGAAAGAGAGACTATAAGCCAGTGTTTCCCAACCTTGACAACTTTAAGATGAGTGCACTTCAACTCT